ATTCTTAATAGGCTAAAGTGTGCTAAGATACTACAGGCTTGTTGGGTTTGGAAATGAACAACTGAATGTCAGGTTTATGTGACTGGAAGCACTAATTTGTGGTACTGCTTAAAAAGATAACAGGCCACAGCTCATATGGCATATAGAATTAAGGTGTTATAGTGAATTTAAGAGATGAACTTATTTTTAGTAAGTCATCTTAGATGATTCTGAGGAATGCTCATCAATCCTATATAATAAGGCCTGGAGTACCAGTAAGAACTTTTTTTAAGGTGCAAGTCAACAAAATAGGTTACTGGAAAGTCTGTAGAGTTGAGAAGGAACTAAAAGAAAGGCAAGTGTAAACTCTGGTTTTTAGACTAAAAGCAAATAAAAAAGGTTTCCTATAAGAACATTTTTAGCCCTTGAGTGGACATTGATTTTTTCAGTATTGAATAAATCCTCTGAAATTTGCCAGAAAATAAACTTTAGTCTGAGACGACTGAAACTATTTGTATTTCTGCAAATAGGAATGTAGGTGAGACCAAAAATAATTGCCTAAAAGCCTTCTAAAAGAAAGTGGAAATAAAAAGGGAGAATTGCTTTTATAATTGCATACCTGATAAAAAATGAAAATATTCTGCAATTTCCAAGAAAAATAAATTTATTGAACCAGTAACTAAGTAAACTAGAGGCAAAATATTGATATTCTATGTCATCAGATATAAGAATGTCTTCCAATGTTTTATTTTCAATTTTGTTTATATGTGATGTTATACACCACACCCAAGTAAGTTTCAGAAAATAAGTGAGTTTCAACACTATCAGGAATAATCTAAAGGTGGTATTTTTTGGAAACTTCTCTATAAGAGTACTTTAAAAGATAGAAAACATTACCCATGCCAAGAGCTTGAGTTCAGTTATAAAAAGTTTGTATCAGTGTTCAAAGTGGCATTTACATAGTTAGCCACGTAAAATGAAACTGTCACTCATGTCATTTATGTAAAAATCCATGCCCTTAAATTAAGTACTCACATCTCTATGCAAAAAAAATTTTACAGGAAAAAGATTTACAGGCAACAGTGATTTCACTTATCTTCTGCCTTCTTGGTATTTACAATACAGAAGGTAAATTCTGCATTATATTGGGAAATAACACTGAGTTCAAAGTGGTATCCATTTGAGTATTTCAAGTTTTCACTAGAACATCATCTGAGATATTGGAGCTTGACTCTTCCTTAGCATCATTACTTGTATAACTGGGCAAAATGGCTTCTTCCTACATCTGCAATACTTAAAACACTGTCAAAACACTGTAAAGTTGTATGGGCGATTCTCCTTTCAGTTCTGCCCTCTCAAATTAGTCCCACCCTAGTCACCTACCTGAATCTTATAAAGACATCTTCAGATAATGATGAAGTTTTAGTGATATAATATATATAAAACTTCATAAATGGTAAAATTTTAAATGTCTTTTCTTTCCTCCCACTGAGTTCTCATTCATTCTGATAAGTTATTTAAAAGATTAGGCCCTCCCTGGTGGCACAGCGGGTTAAAGCGCAGCACTGAGAAGCTAAAGCCACTTCCGCATGAGTTCGATTCCCACCTGCCCCGGAGGTGACCACATGGAGTGGCAGACCTCTCCTGGCCCAACCGCTGCTTCCCTCAGCAGTGTGCTTCGTAGATCTGCCTGCTCTGCTCCCCACTCTGTCTCTGGTGAAGCCTCTCGCTGCCCCTGAGCCTCTGGCCTGTACCCCAGGTCTGTATGCACAAATAAATCTTTAAAAAAAAGATTAATGTATTTTATTAACAAAATAATTAAAACCCCCACAAAAACAAGAAGGGTAAAAATATTAGCTGAAACATGCAGTACATAAAATGAGCAATTTAAATATTAAGAATATGTAAAAGCAACATGAAATGGAGAAAACACATTTATTTTAAAGTCACATGGATCCAATACTAAAGTTTGTTTCCCCAAATATCTCTGGTGATTATATTCAGACAAATAAAAGATGGGTCAATACTCACAAAAATGTAAAACCCCTTCATAATACAATCAAGTACCATTGTTAAATGAACAATTTAGGTAGTATCCCTTTCCTAGGTGTCCACAAAGGGACTCAAACCAAGAGCCAGAATGTAACTGATCTTGTCCCTGGAGAGGTTATTGAGGTTATTGAGGCCTGTACACTGTGGCCTCAAAGACATCAAGGTTTATGACTTGGCCAAAATTCCCTGTTCCCCAGAAAAGGCTTTTAACAAAAACAACTAGCTAAATAGAATGTGTAAATATATACTATGATGCTTCTTAATTAAAAGGAAACATGTATCATGATAAAAAGAAACTTACACTAAGTTCCTCTGGAGTGATTATTCATATTTACATTCTTCTAGGCTCCCAATGCAGTGACTTTCACACTCAGATGTTAAGTATTTACTAAACTGATTTGCTACAAGTTAAATCTATAGACACTTTTAGGAAAAATTACCAAGAATCTAATAAAACCTAACTCTTCACCACTGCATCCTTGGTGAGCCTGGTAGGTTTTTTTTAATTGGCTTATTAGGTAAAAGACAAAATGCATTAGGCTAAATGAGACTCTTCTGGACAACAACCAATTTTCCCAGTGATCCCTATTCCTTACTTTTTGCTGCTCTCTTAGCACCTGAAGCTTCTTGCCTATTTTCATGGCTTTCTTTAGCTAGCTGAGGTTCACAAAAGATCTACTCTTAGTCTGATCATATGGTGCTTTGGGAGGTTACAGGAAATTCCTATTAAATCTCTTACAACTCCTAAGATCCAAGTGGCCAAAACTGCTATACCTACCAAAGAGGGCATATCACTCCCTATGCTACCATGACTTGCTTGTTTCTGAAATTCTTCTAGGGAAAGTGGGGAAAGATCAAAGATGCTACATGAGTCTGGCTCTTACGAGGTTAAGATTCTTCTCCTTCAAGTCCCATAGCACTTTGTACTTACCTTACTTTGCCCTGATCTATGATGTCTATTACTTACAATCATCCCCTATAAATTACATAATTACATTACCTTCAGTATTTCTGTAAAGGTTAGGCGTGAAAAATCAGTGTGCTATTCCAGTGCCAGACTGGCAGTATATTGTGTTTTGAAGTCAGACATTGAATTAAAATTCTAGTCATGTGACCTCAAATAAACCATTTAACCTATAACTCAGTACCTTCATCTATAAATTGGAATTTCTATGTTACAGATTAATACTGAGATTAAATAAAGTAAGGACATCAGAACAGACTGCACATTATGAATGGGAAATACACGGGTAGGCTGAGATGGCTTTGTGAATGAGATATGTTTCCAGGGCTCTAGCTCCAAAATAAGTTTCTAGGGTCGTGCCCCCTAAATAACAAACTTGGGATGTATGCTCCAAACAGCATAGTGCAGTCAGTTTTACTCACAGAGAAAAAATGGGACAAGAGATCAAAGAGGATACTGAAGCAAAATATTTTGTGAGATCATTCAAACTCAAATTATTCCATATCCCAAAATACTATACAACCACAGACCTAACTATACTCAAATATAATGGAGACACTTTTAGGAAAAATTACCAAGAATCTAATAAAACCTTACAGAACAAGCTAGTAAGAGCTCATTAAAGTTTATACTATGCAGTATGAAGATGTCAATTTTCACCATAGTTTTAACCTTTAGATAAATCCAATCAAAATCCCAAGATTTTTTTTTTTTAAATCATCAAACTACACTTGAGGGTCAAGTATCCTAGTGCAGCCATTTCATATATACACACACAGCGTAAGGTGGCTTCCCTATCAGGGACCAAAATAAAGCATCCAGCTACAATGATCAAAGAACTGAGGCATTGGTGTAGGAATAAAAATGCTTTGGAAGTGTTAGGGTTTTATGCTACCCCCACCCCTACCCAGGACTTTAAAGTAGAATATTAATACAATCACCCATGTTTATTATCCCCACTTTTCAGATAATGAAACTGAGGTGTAGAAGTTAAATAACATGTTTAATACCATACATGTTCAAGGGCAAGAGTCTGAACCTCTATGAATACAAAAGTTCATTCTACCTTACAAGAAAAATACTAAGATCTATTATCTAAGAGTTCCTACACATCAAGGAAAAGCTCCTTAAAAAGCTTGTGTACAGGCCCTCCTTGTGGCACAATGGGTTAAGGACGCAGCAGTACAAGACAGGTACAGCCACTTCAGTATGAGTTCGATTCCTGGCCGTGGAGGTGACCCACATGACATGGCAGACCTCTCCAGACCCGCTCGCTGCTCCCCTCAGCAGTGTACTCTGTCAATCTGCCTGTTCTGCCCCCATTCTGTCTCTGGTGAATCCTCTCACTGCCCCTGCACCTCTGGCCTGTACCCCAGTTCTGTATGAATAAATAAATACATGTTTATAAAAAAAAAATAGAAAGCTTGTGTACAAATGGCAAAGGATATTAAAATACAATTATAGTGCTGTGCTAATGGACAATAGACATTAAAAAGTTTAACCTTCTAAGCACTTATTATTAGGACTAATAATATCTAGGGTTACAGAAAGTACCAGGAAATGAGTTTTCATACACTATAGTAATGTGTATTTTTATAATTTTTTTGGAAGGCAATCTGACATTAACACATGTAATTTTTATGCTGTCTGCAATTCCTCTTCCAGAATCAATCCCAAAGAAGCATTAAGCATAACCACAGTCATGTGCAAGGAGACTCACTGCAGGTTCTTCTGTAAAAGCTGAAATACTTAAGTATCTAACTGCCCATCAACAAGTAACAGTTGGAAAAAATCATTGTACATTCATCCTGAGGCTATATGTAAAAAAGTAAGCTACATGGATCGACACAGAAAGATGCTAACAACACATCATAGAAGAGTTTTGAAAAACCAAGTAACAGAATACACAGAATTTTGACCCTTCTGTTAATAAAAGACAAAGAATCTAAGAGATAATAATACAATTGAGAAAATAAACATGTGGACACATGTTGAAAAAAGTATTTTTTAAAGGGTATGGAAGGATTTACAACAAACTATTAAGAGTAGATACTGTAGGAGAAAATGAAGGACCCTAAAGCATTAAAGGGAACTTTTACTTTTTACTCAATATTCTTCTGATAACTAAAAAGGCTTCTGAGTTTTGAGAAGACAAAAGCAACTGATAGAGGGCTTAGTAGGTCTTGTCTAAAAAAATTGTATAAACCATTGACAACACTAAAAAAAGTCATAAAAGAACAATGATTAAAAAATTACATATGAAGAATATCGACAGCTATAAAGATTCAAAGCAACTGACACAATATACTTTATTTGTTTACATAATGATAGGCTCTGGACAAAGTGAAGACAACAGAGACAATGACAACACATTTAAACTCCTATCACAAATTGATCTGTTACAAATTTCCAGTGGTTCAACATATTAAAATGGAAATATTTAAAGAAAAAACCAAATATATATATTTAGATTTTGGAGCACAAAACAATGTTTTAAAAAAAAATTTTAATTTTAACAGTAATTCAAAACACGAAAATCCATTTTCCTACCCTCCCCCCCAAACCTGGATCTGAGGACTGCAGTATTGGAGAAGTATGCAAAAAATAAAAATAACTTTAGTGCTAAGAAACAAAGCATTTCCTTATTTTAATGCATCAAGGCGCAAAAATTTCAATCCCAAAAAGCCGATTATCGTTGCTATATGCAGATAAAATAAAACAGATCTGATACTTTTATAATCAAACCCAACAAACATTATACTAAAAATATATAGTGTGTGTATTTATATATGCAATACCTATTTTAGAAAAAAAGGTGCCTTGGTGAAAATGATTCTGAAAAATATTCACTTGATGCACATTATGTACAAAACCTTTTATATAAAAAATTAAACTATTTTCAATGAAATTCCATGTTCACATCCCATCTGAAAACAGTACTTGAAAGATAAATAGTTCTACCTAATAGTTGCTGTCTGAAATCATGGCTAAGGCAGTTCTCTTTCCAAAGGCTCACTTTTTCACCCACTCTATGTTAATATTATAAACAAGTTATTACACAGATACAACCTGACATGCCTATGTATTATTACCTGGAGCTCTGTTCACTGTTGAAATAGGGGATAGTTTATAGTTGCTACAAAGAATAATTTTATATCTTAAAATATAGTTTCTCTATTCCAAATTAAGCACTTACTTAAGACGTCAAGAGGCTGATAAGCCACTCCATTTGGTGTCAATATCAATAGCCCTGTTAAGAAAGAACTCTGTACTGGAATAGCTAGAAAAGTTTCACTGTAGTAACAGTACATCCCTCACCTGCATAGAATCAATTTGGCTTAATAGCTCTTTGTCTCCAGAATATCATTCTGGAGTTCAAATATGCTCTTGAAGGCCCATCCCCGATATGAAAAAACATCTCATATAGGCAATATGAGGATACACAGGATAATAAAAGTTGTTAAAAGCGATTCAACGAGTCTCACAGCAATCCTCATTTGGAGTAGCTGCTAAAGGTTACAGAGGAAACAAAAATGGAAAAGAGTAGGGCCAATGAAATTAAGTTGGTCAAATATTTACACCAGTAGCGGTTTCAGCAAGTCTTTAAGAAAAAACTGCAGTGACCTGGCACCTCTAGCTCATCAGAGTACAAGCACTGAGGATTTCAAGCTCAAGTGAAAAATGGAATACCCTTAAACAGGGGGAACAGTCTGAGGCAAAAATCATTAGGTTTGTAAATATATATTTTATATGCACACAGAATTGTGTGTATTATCTTTCATATATTTACATACATATTCACAAGATGCCCTGCAATGTAGTTCAAAAGGCCTTTATCAAGGAACAAACTGATTCTAAGATAGGTCCTGGAGTTCACACCATCTATATAAGAAACAATGTGCATATAACTCACACATAATGTAAACCTTATCAACAAAAACATTGCTATTAACGCTAAGTTAAATAGTAGGCCTTACTAACCGGTGATATAATAAAAACATTTCTTATACCGAGAATCAAAATAATGAAAAATACACAGCAGAGATTTAAACTCTCTCTCTCTCTCTCTCTCTCTCTCACACACACACACACACAGTGTTTAGCATAGCAAACAAAGTTCAAATTTCAGAGTAGGGGAAAATATCAAAAGTTTATAAATCTCCTGGTATGCAATTTAATTACTGCATCAATTTTAGAAAAATAGACTCAGACGGAACAATGCTGCTATGGATTTTCTCAACACATCAACCCATTATGTTTATCTTTTTCCTCTTTTATTTCCAGCTGGAGGTTTCTTCAATTGAAGGAGTTGTCCTCCTGTTCCAAAACCTGCAGAGGCAGGATTGGATACCCCAAATGTCAAACCAGCTGATGCCGTGATGCCAGGATTGCTGAAGTTAAACCCAGATGTACTTGAGCTGCCAAAGCCTTATATTTGGGAAGAAAATATTTGTATCAGAAGTTAAATAACAAAAACAAACATAAAAAATGGGGATGAAAGGTCAGTTTCTAGATGAAAGAATATGTAATCTATAAGCATAGCAAATAACACAGGGTTCCAAATTTCACAGGTAACATGGGATCTTTCAGAAAAATAATTTAGCTAACAACTAAGTGGCACCTTTAAACACAGAAGTTGAATAACAATGGCCAAAAGAGACATCTTGGCACATATAACTGAAATTATAGAAATCAAATTGCTAGGAAGTTTTCTCTTAATTAAATCCACCAAGGTGTCTTCCTCATCAATCCCTCCAGAAAACATTTTATCAAAATACAGAAGAGAGACTTCTCTAACTTTCACACCCACTTAAGTCCTCTGAAAAATCTAAGTCCTTTGAGAAAGCTTCAACCCACAATTTTTATAACAATGAACATACCAAAGTATACTGTTTTGATTTTGTAAGAGCCCATAGATAATTAATTTCAAGAATTATTAGTGCCCAACTTACTAATATCAACCTATTATAGTCCTGATGTCAATGAATTCTATTATCTTACTCTGACTTAACTGTTGATTCTAAACACTACTTAATAATAAGTGGAATTTCCATCAAATTCTGTCACTTTAAACATAAATTAATTAGTATTACATCATTATTTTACACATGCTACTTATTCATAAGTATTGCAAAATAAAATAAACCATTATTTACAAATATAGAAAAAATACAAATAGATGGGATTTGGAATTTTCTACTAGAAGAGTCAAAAATTACACCTATTTAAAGAATGAACAAAGAACCCAATTTATCATCATCTGAAAGACTGGTATTTTAAAGCTAGAGGAGTTTATAAATATGTCTTTGAAACAGAAATCATTCTCCTGGATATATAATGATAAAAATTGAGTTAACTTTCACAATAATGGGTTCATTTCTATAATAATGAAAATGGTTTAACCATGAAACTAGTCTCTGGTGGTTCAAAAGAAATTCAACTTAGTTAATAGAGGATGTAAGTATTCAATGTATCTAACTAGTAAGTCTTCGAAATGCCTGCAAACCTAATCTTGAGCTTATCAGGGAGATAAAGCTATCTAGTTAAGCTTGCATGCTTCATTCAGAGCGTAGACAGTGAATCAGGGATCACTTTTGGTAATAACAATACTTATATTTTTAAGTTTAATAATTCGCACCTTTAAATTTGCCTGAAATTCAGGCAGAAACACACAAACCTGCACTAAGACTTCCTGAGGGTTTATTTGTTGTTCCAAATCCAAATGTGGAGGCCCCTGTGGTGCTGCATCCAAAACCAGAGCTAGTTCCAAATCCTAGTAGAAGGGTAATAGAGAAATATACAACGGTATGTAAAATACAGGTTAAAGGATACTGACAAATAAAAAGGTCTAATAAGTACAGTGTAAAAAAAGTATAACCGTAAGGAAATCTGCTATTTACTTCTTGGCATAAGACTTTTGGATGAACCAGATTAATTCAGAAATAAAACATTTATATCAATTTAGACTAAGTTTATGACCTACCAGAAACTTTTAAAGAACAAGGCCATAAGAAACAATATTGTATTAGTATTTTCACTACCAAATAGACTAGAAGTTTTAGTACTATTCAAGTACAAGTTTAGTCAAACCCCTAACAGAGATGTTTCACTTTGCAAAAGAAAAGCAACTAAATTAATAAGCATGACATGCACAATTTAAACACAAAGTATCATAAGTTATTTTTATAAAACACTTTCACTTAAGGACTTGGACCACTGAAAAGCTGTAAAACTACTCAGTAACTTCTGCCACAGACCAGTCAATATCAACAGTGAAAATTCAAGGATGAGTGTCTTGCCTTTTCTTTTAATAATATAGTCAGAGTTTAAATATCTTTCATCATATGAAGTATATAAGTATATTGCTAGTTACTTGAAGACTTGTTTTCATTCTCATAAAAGTCAAGGACTCTATAAATAAATTTCCAACTCTTTTTAGGCTACTTTGCAACAACTTATTAAAAATACTGAATTTGACAGTAAAGAGATATGATTACAAATGAAATTATAATTCTTCGGAATTATATTATCTGCTATAATTCTAATAATTTCTAATATAGCAAAGAAATATGATTACAAATGAAATTATAGTTCTTAGGAATTAATGCTGTCTGCTATAATTCTAATAATTTCTAATATAGTCTATGACAAGAAATAATGAATAAGGAAACCTTAATTCATTAAATAATACCCTTGTCAAAATACAATAAACTTTCAAATATCCATCAGCAGGACAGACTGTTGAATACATTTGTATTTAGCATGATGTTTTTGCAGAAAACTTTCCTTACTAACTAGAGTAACTATGAAACTACTAAAATATGCTCAACTGCTTTTTCAAGTATCCATAAAGGCAAATTTGCCAAATGTGCTTAGGAGTAGACAGAATCAAGCTGTTCAAATTATATTATTTTCTCATTTAAAGTGTTCATTTTCAGAAAAAAGATCATTATTAGAAGACTGTATAGGCAGGTAATAGTTTGGACTTAAAACTGAAATTACCAATCTTTAAAAAGTAAAATTTATCAAACTTAGTAACTTTAGGTTCCTATTTCAGCATACGATTTTGAAAATATGAACATCCCTACTCCTTCAATTTTTACTTTAAAAAATTTACTATTCACAAAAAATAAATTTTCTTAAGTTTTAAATCTAGTACTAGGAAAAGAATTGATTACGTTTAGAGAATCACTTTTGCCAGATGGAATTTTAACTTCCAAAATAGCAGATCCTCAGAAATTTTTTACAATTTGTATCAATTCAAATGTATAATAGTCCAATGCAAATATTAGAAAAGTTAAAGTGTACCTCCAAGGTTTGAAGAACCTAAGCCACTTGATTGCAAGCCAGTGCCAATACCTGAGCCGAATGGCGTTCCAAAACTAACTCCCAGAGATGGCTGTGGCCCTGGTATAAAAAAAAAAAAAAAAAAAAAAAAATGGGGGGAAAAAAAACAAATTGGCCTTACTCTTTCAAGGTTAAAGTTTCTTTATGAAATAATTTTTTAAGTGAACAGTGATTACCCTTACAAATTCTATTTCAGGATGTCTCCCCAGTCTAATTTAGTTGCCACAACTACCTTATCCAAAAACAAAAAAAAATTGTTTTGATTGTTTCATACTAAATAATTAAAAGGCCTATCACCATGCTGAAAGATGTTAGTTTAACATACTAAATATTTGAAATCTTTAATGTATTGTAAATAGAGTTTTTAAGTTTTACTTCTAGAATGATTTAATATCTCTCTACTTGTTTTCTGATTAAAATTAGTTGGTGTAATCAGTAAAGGTTTTTACTTTTTTCTTTTTAAAACAAGCTCCTTATTAGAGTCGTCTCAATTGATCAAGAGACTGACACTAACATGCAAAACTATCATGTTACCCATGATAGTAAGTACCCAAAAAACTAGGCATGATTTTTGATCAGAAATATAAATGATATATACAATAAATAGATAAAAAAACAAGACAATGATTTATTTTATTAAATTTATTGTTCAGTTTAAAGCAAATCCATTACACAGGAACATGACAATTCCAACTTGTTCACAAAAAGTGGTAACTGAGTTCTACTTAAGCTCTGCTACATTACACCACTTATCACCTGATTAAATAAGATAATGAACATTTACAAAGGCACTGTTATGTACCTTGACAGATTCAATACATTCAAGATTTCAATTCAGAAGTTTATTTCCAACATTTTGGAAAATGTACTCATATGCAGAACAATTAGTCATCCTTTCCCATTTGTTACTTTAATGATTTTTGGCTGAGTTTGTTTGGCAAGAATAGCATCAAACTTACTAGCCTCTCTTTTTAACGACTTTTTTTTTTTAAACTAAGCAGAATACAAAATCTAAAAATCTTCCTTTTGATAAATAATTTATGAAAATTATTCAATAAATTTCATAGTACAATCTTCAGTCTTGTCTATTTCAAACACAGTGATCAGTGCATCTCAAAGTTGAGGGAACTGCCAAAGTAATAAAACAGGTTGAAATTTAAACTTTTCAAAGAAATCAAAGCCTTCAAGTTGTTTAATGAAGAATGAGGTTTGTATATTCAAAAGGTAGTGTAAAATTATAAAACATAAAACAAAATCAACTGAGGAACCACAATTTTGCTACACTGGGACAGAAACTGGACTTTTCATATCACTTCTACCCAGTAAATAAAGAATAAGAACTACTAGCATCCAGAGTTCTTATCACTAGTATTAAAAAATAAATTAAAAAAGATTTACATTTTTACATCTAGTTTGAGATTAATTTGAGAAAAAAATACCTGCCAGGCAGCTTTTGTAAAATGTTACTATAGGAAAAAGAAATGAAGTATATTACTTCCTGATCTCTAACAAAAATATGTAGAAAATACACGTCCAGTTTCTTTAACATTGAGAGACTTAAGTGTCACATGTTAATAGGAGGCACTGCTGGTGGAAGACCCTAAAGAATAATGCACACCACAGCCCTCAGCTCTACAAGTCATAAGAGTTACTCAACGAACATGTTTTTTTTGTGTGTGTGGGTCTGTTTTTAAGAGCAACTCTACCTTGCTATATTCAGGATCTAGGTAATCAAGAACTCTGACAATGACAAGACTTTCCATTGCACAACAGGTACAGAATATTTTGAGTTTTGTACCTTCACACAAATTCTGAAGGCAACATCATTTATAAAACTAGTAGACAAATGTATAACATTTTTTAATAGTAAAAACTCATGATAAATATCTCCCATGCCAAAGTATTAGCATATAGTATACACTCTGGCCACCATATAAATAAGTTTCACTATTAGAAAGCAGAATCTAAATCCTTCAGGCAAAAATTACGTAAACAAGTCAAGAAGTCTGTTTCAAATTCTGAGTAGTCATTCAATGAGAGGCTCTTAGTTCCATAAATAAAATCAAGTTTTTTTAAGTAGAAGACATCCCAATGATTGCCCAAAGTGAAATCTTCATGTAGAGTAACATTTTACAAAAGTTATCATATAATATATTCACACACAACAAAATCAAGTTCAGCACTGTAACTTATATTTTCCAGAATAAATTCTACTTTCTTAAAAGTAAAACTGCACTCACAGGAAAAGGACTAAAGTGCTAAAATTTTCATAATTTTCAGTGATGACTCAAAATACCTAATGTAATTAGTATGGTAATTTCTAAGTCATATTTTAAAAATAATTTTTCTTAAAAAAATCTTTTTCCCCAATTTGAAAATTTTGCTCTTACTGATTTTGGGGGGGACTGTTCCTTTGGTTATTAAATACAACAAAACCACAAAAAAGAAAAATGAAATACTCAGGAGTTTCCTACTTGACACTACACTTAAATGTCCAAACCTACACTAAAAGTTAGAAAGCAGGAATTTGTAACAAAATGTATCAGCTCTCCTTAAAAATAACAGCAGCTAAGTCACACAAGAAACTCTTATTATGTAAACATCAAAAACTTTTAAGTGTCAAAATACAACAGCAAACTTAATCCCAGTATATTAGCTTAAAATAATCTATCCTAAATTAAAATTATATTTGAAAAGACTTAAATTTGAGTGTCTTAAGCTTTTTAAAAGATTTCAGAAACACTGATGAACAGTACACTCAAGATATACTAATGTGTAATGTAGTCAATTATTGATGCTTATTTCATATATTAAATAGCCTGTTGGCTTCTCATAAAGTCTCTTCAGTCTTCAGAACCAATAACCTAAATCACACAGGTCTGAGCTCTATTAAATGTTTTTCATTAAAAAACATTGAGGATGGACCAAGAGGCCATTGAAGTGCACGTCTCCATTTCCAAGAAAGACTACACAGAAACTACCTTCAGAAAGTAGCAGCCTGATTATCTGCTCCTGTACATTAATGAAGGTAAGAACCCAAATGCAAATAAAAGCAAAACCCCTCTGACAACTCAAATTCTGCAGAACCAAGAATGGCATATAAAAACAGTGTACAAGCTCTATCTAGGTTCATCCTGATGACCTTTAAAATTTGTTACTGGCACTTAAAATATTTCATCAGTCACAGAACATAGAGGAATAAATCACTGGATACAGAGCACATGCGATAAGTAGGTACACTTCTAAACAGGTTGTAACTCAAAATCGGTACATACGTATCTAACAGAGTTCATAAATCTCAGTATAGGGGTGACATGACTAAACTAACATTCTGACTCAGGAGGCATAAAGGAGTGGACGATGAAGCCTGGTAGACTTTTAAAGAAACAAAAGGAAAAGTAGAAGACAATGCAAAATTGCTAAGTCTTTCGATTCCAACAATCCATACAACTCAAAACAAAAACACTGATGACTGTTTAAGATGATAAATACTATTCCTATCACCTGATTAGACAGACTTTATATGGACTTCAAACTGCAAAGAACAATGAAAGCAGTCAGTTTCCCCAAAGTCTGGCAAAAGTCATAAACAAAATTAAAGCCTTTGAGCAATAAAGCTCCTCAAATGACTATGCTTTATAAGCAAATATTCTCAATCACCACAAAATGATCCTATCTCTATTGTTTACCTTTGTATCCCCTGAACCTAGCACACAGGCACTGTAATTGATAAACATATCTTTGTATGTCCATAAGCCCAAATGTATAACCTCTTGACTGTCTACATAGGTTAATAAAAAACACCCCTGACAGAGGTTTTCCTCCCATTTAGCTCTATACCACAGAATATGATTCACTTAAAGTGTAACATTTTAGACAACTGACTTCTCTCACGTTTTATTAAAGTGGAAACCTCTCACATTTAAAGAACACTTAACCAGACTCATGCTTACTTGATCTACTTTATGATTAATATGGCAAAGTAAAAAGAAACTGGCGCTATGGTTAGTTTAATTAGATGGATAAATAATCATGAGAAATGATCATAACTGATGATTCCCCCTCCCCCCATAACTTCAGAACACAATCCTACACTCCAGCCAGCTAGAGAATTACTATATAGTGCTTATGTGAGCCACTATTCACATGGGTCCAGCCATGGAATGTGGAGGATTTGGCATAAATCCATCATTAATCATTTATTGATGGTAATTCAATTCTGTCATCTCCAAATGTGAAGAACAATTTTTTTAAACTGCCAATAGTGAAAACCAGAAAAGGCTTCCCTAGTAAAGGCAGCCTGACTAGAATCTAGATATGTATGGTTTTTACTGTTTTTGTACTATAGTAATACTAGACTATATGCAACTCTCAGAGATACATGCTGTAGAATAACCAATTTAAAAAAAAATCAATTTCCATTAAGATTATACTTTTCTATAGCAAATTTTAAATCTGACCAAAAGGGACTGCGAGAGTAAAAAGATAAGTAACATTTAAAAGACATAACAAATTAAACATTAGAGAACTAAACTACAAAATTGTTTCTTTCCTTAGAAGAGGAATTAAACCAAGGACCAAAATTATCTGCTTTCTAGTATCTTACCAGTTACTTTCGTGGGCTCAATTTCCCAGTTTATACTTCTTAATATGCAATCCAGAGCATCTCAAAATATCTTTTTCCTGCTCTTGCTATTGTTCTATTCATTTTGGAAAGGCATGAACAATTCTAACATGTACCTTCTTCCAAATTTGTTTTAAGGGGCCTGAACTCTGTTTCCAGTCTCTCTCTCTCTTTATATATGTGTGTGTGTGTGCGTGTATATATATATACATACACGCACACACACACACTAATGGTTTCCTCAACATACTTTTAGTCAATAAAAATGTACTTCATCCTGAATGTGAATACTCTGTAATCACTATATATAAGGAAATGAGAATGCACCATCTATCAACATATAGGAAAAATGCAAAATGCGGCTGAATTATCTGACTTTAAAACAATAAATGATACAATCACCATTTTAGAATCTGCTATTCTTAAATGTAGTTCAGTAGTGAAATATCATGTTCTAAAGGGCATGAATAGCAATACAGCAATTAACATCAAGTAAATTCACAATGTTCAATATCTAATTGATGTATAATTATTGCTAAGACTACCCTGCATTTTTTCAGGTATTATGTTCATAATTGTGTCCATCACAATTTTTAGACTGTAGGGGAACAGCTACTCATAGAAATATCTTCAGTCCTGACACAAAAAGGAAGACTGATAAAAATGCACATAAACATTCTGCATTTTAACAGTAAGAAGCTATAACTTGAATGCATTCAGACCTGTAGCAGGCTGTTGCTGCTGTGTAAGTGTTGCAGCCATGGCAACGGCTGCTGCATTTGGCATGTTGCTGAAAGGGGTAGGTCCAGTAGTAACTCTGGGTGCATTCTGCCACTTCTTGGCTTCTGTTCGTCTGGCTTCGAACACATCTACAGCATCTCCCAAAAACATTTTTCGATAGCCAAGGTACTGCTCTTTGAGCACCTGAAGGAATGAAAAAAGAAAAGGTGAATCAAGTTCTGTGCTAACTTTGGTAATATATGAATGAACTAAACTAGTAAAGACATATCAAAGACACTGCCAATATTATACATTCCACCTAAAATGAAAGTTAGAGTGCCAGTAAAAATGGATGCTATGGGAAGTGCTACATTTGTGAGCTTTATTGCACTGAGTATTTTCTCCCCTATTCTTGTCATGTCTCCATAATACTGCCTATATTCTATTTCCTGATACTCTCTTTAAAATGAATTAGTTAAGATTTTAGATAAGCAGAGAAATATCTGAAATTTCCTATTACAGCTGTTCATGAAATTTTCCCTCCCAATGGTTAAAAATGGGGGAGAAGTCAGTACTATCATACCTCTTAAATACCATTTTCAAAAGTATTGGGTGACATGTTAAAATAAGATGTTATACCTCAAAAGAAAACTTGAACAGTCTAAGGAAGTCTTTATCACTTTATCGGAATTCTTTGACTGTTTTTATAATGAAAATGATTCACTTTGAAGAACTACAATGATTAAAAAATAAAAGTCAATATATAAGTACAGAGTAACAAAGAAAAATTGCCATATTCATAAAGTGGGTTGGTTTACCAAGAAACATCTGCCTTGAAGAAGTTCAAATAAGTGTTTCACATTAAAATTATTAAATACTTTCATTGATGGTCTGACATAATTTATATCAGCTTTATATCACTTTTTGAAGAGATATAGAATTTCCTACTAGGTTTTAGCAGAAATTAATGCATTTTAGGCTTTCTGTTTATAGAGAACTTGGATATCTTTTTTTTTTTTAATTTGTTTATTAATGCATATAGAACTGAGGTACAGGCCAGAGGTGCAGAGAGTGAGAGGATTCACCACAGGCAGAGTACGGAACAGACCAGGCAGATATACTGGGAAATACTGCTGAGGGGATCAGCAGGCAAATCAGAAGTCTGCCACACCATGTGGGTCAGCTCCCTGGCCAGGGATCGAACTCATGCTGCAGTGGCTGTATAGCTTCTTAGTGCTCGGCTTTCACCCGTTGTGCCACCCTTGGATATCTTAATGTTAAAAAGTTATAGCTAAAAGCTGTAGCATTTGAAAGTCACTTCTTTGGGATGTCAGTATTTAGGCCTGTCAAGAACTGAAAAACTTAGGGAAATGCAGAATAAGACATGGTAAATCAAAAAAATCAATCTTATTAGAACTGATTTAGCCCCAAGTCCATCCACTCTTTATATGTGCAATTACATGCACATACCCATATAAGATTCGGCAGTAATAGCCCATAAATTTTAATTCTACTTCAGATAATTGGCCAATATGATTGATCTCAGAGACCGAAAAGAGAATAAGTTAAAATAAAAATAAAACTGCTATAAGTCATGATATATGTACTTGGTAAAACTTCCAAATTTGTTGATGTCATTCAGAGAGCTTGAGTCTATTTCAACAGATTATCTCATGAAAAAATAAAACAGGAGGAGCAAAAGTAGCACCTCTTGTGAGTTTCCTGTAGGCGGCGAACAAGTTTAGTGCTTGTTCACTAAATGCAGCTCAAAATAAAAGACATACCAAATCTTATTATGGAACTTCCTTTGGTCCTTAAGAAAAATAAAGTCAAATCTCATGGAAAGTTTATCTAACAAGATCTGGAGTAGTTTTCTTGAATTTCAATTGTTTTATGGTCATGTTACTAAAGAAGGTCTAGTTTTCAAGTCAAAGAGAAAATGCTATTGAAAAAGCATATATTACAAATGTCAAGCATGAGATCTGTTTTAAAATATTGCATGAAAAAAAAAATCTCTGCTTAGAGAACTAAAAGAACATCAGCAAGACCCTGATAATGTCTGAGTTTGGACTGTGGGTGCTTGGACATTCATTTTAATGGTACTTTACTTGAAAAGATTCATTAAAAAAATTAAGAAAAAAATAAAATCTTACACAACACAGACTTTAAAATGCCAACAGATAATCATCTCTAGGCTTAAAAAAAAAACCTTAAGTAATATTTATTACAAATTTTTTCAAGAAGTTTTTATTAAAATTCTTTCTTTAAAACAATTATTTTAAAGATGTGGCTTAGAGGTTAAAATTTAATGAAAGCAAAAAGTATGAAGTATGCTATTTCTAAAAAGTGATATGTTAATGGTTAAAAACTGCTACAAGGCATCAGATTAAAAAAAACGGGTAACTTGATTAAACTCTACATAGTTTAACAATTTTAGATGCAAATTGAGTGCTGTGAATTTTAAAGATCTCAGTGGACTATAAAAATCCAAAAGATAATCTTTATATTTAGAAGGCAGAAATGTGAGCAAGATTTTTTTTAATGCAACAAATAGCAAATAAACATTTAAAACATAAATAAAGTTATATTGCCTGCTTATTATGGTGAAAAGATGGAACTAAGATAAATGTCCAACAAGATAGAGCAGATTAAATAAACTGTACACCAATGAAATCCCATGAAAGGAGCAAAAATGATAGTCAAGAGATGTGTATAAGTGTGAGAAGTTGTTCACATTATACTGTTGGAAGTAAACAAAAGAACAAATTGTATAAAATACATGAATGGCTTTAAAAAGAAAAGGTATTATCCTTGGACATATTATTTTAGGTTTAGTCTTGCACTTACAGGTAATTTAAGCTATCTCTGTAATAAGCATAGAAACTTTTGCCCCACAAATGAACTAACATTTCACTTGAGTTTAGATATTTAGAGATGATCTGTCACTGAAAACTTACCTTCACATTTTCATGAATAGATTGAAGCTGTGCAGCTAAAGCTACAAATGTTTGATAAATTTTCTGCATAGCCATTGACAAATCTATAAAAGAAAATTATATCATCACACAAATAAATATATAACAACCACTTTTATTTCCTGTTGAAGCTAATCTTTGGTACAGTTAGTGTATAGACGGAAACAGAAACTACAACAGTATTTCCATGGATAAGCAGAGTGGGCAGACTGTGAAAAGGATCATCTTAATAAGTGATCTGAGCAGGAGAGGAAATAGTGATATCTGCCATTATTAGCATAATAACAATTCATAATAAAAATTTTTATATTTATAGGCAACAAAGATCCAATTAACAACTTTTAAGGAAACACAGCAACTGAAGAGAATAATAGTCACCTAAAACATTTATTAATTGGACACAGTTAACTTCTCTCTAATCAAAATAATGACAGTGCTATAAAAACAAAATTACCAGAAAACATGTTACCTTGAGGGGTTATATGTGAGTTATTTGCTTGAGTGGCAAGGTGATTTTCTAGTTCTTCAATCTGCTGTCTGTACTGTTGAAGCTGTACTTCAAACTGTTGAACCAGGATTCTGAAGTAGCTATATAAAAATATAAACATTTACAAACTTATGTCAAATTTTTTAAAACATCATTTTCTTTGTATTTAAAATATAAGTGCATAAATGTGCACCCATTTAAGTAGAGCCTTTGAATTAGTCTGATGGCATATCTTGGAGTAGCACATAGGTTTATTAAAACAACGCAAACACATAAATTATCAATGTACAAAAAATAGATGCATATTCTAATTCCAATCATGAAAAACCCTATTAAGGGATCAAGGTCATCAAAGACATTAAGACATCATTAAGTCATTAAAATATCAAGATCATCAAAGAAAGATTAGAAGAAATCAAGGAGAAACAACTAAATGCAATGTGACCAAGATTCTGAAACAATAAAAGCACATTAATAGGAAAAGACAATACAAATTTAAAGTCCTATAGTTTATTTAATAGTGTTTGCAGTAGTTCAATATTTATTTCTCTTGATAACTATTCTGATAAACTTAACCCAGACTTAATCTATTCAAAAGATATCAGAAAAATAAAAAGGGATCTTAATAGTATTCAGTCTGAACACTATGCTACAAAAAATGGTCAACTGTGAGTTTTTCGCAGTAGAAAATCATACAATTCTACCCACTTCGTTTTTTTTAAATAAAAACAATATAATTTACTTAAATTATTCAGAAAGTCAACTAAACAGCTGAAACTGAATTATTTCTATTTTTAAAAAAGACTTATTTATTTTATGCATACAAGAACCAGAGGTGCAGGAGATGAGAAGATTCACCAGTGAGTGGGGAGCAGAACAGGCTGATTGACTGAAACCCACGCTGAGGGGATCAGCGGGCAGGTCAGAAGAGGTCGGCCACACTAAGTGGGTCACTCCCCGGCTGGGACTGGAACTCTTCAGATAGCTTCATAGTGCTCTGCTTTAACCCACTGTACCACCAGAGCGGCCCTGCAACTTTGTATTACTGTGATTACACAGTGGTATTCATTTAACAGAACAATTATTTTATAAAGGCTACATAGGAGACAACTGAAGGTGAAAAACTACCATACCCATATATGAGTTTTACCCATTTCAAAACCAGCTCTTCATGGCTGCATGAAGAACAAGCTAGTAATCTCACAAGGGAGCACATCCATTCTAACCTAAGCTAACAGAAGTATCACTGTCACTAATTTTCTGATTTGATCATTGTGCCGTAATTATGAGAAAGAATATCTTTGTTTAAGAATTACACACTAAAGTACTTAAACATAAAAGGCACCAAATCAAGCTGTTTTGGGAGGAAGATGTACATATGAATATAAAAAGCAAAGAACAAATCAAATACTTCACAAAGCTAATAGGTAGGGAATCTGACAAAAGTTACATGGGAATTTTTTGTTATATTGTTGAAACTTGTCTGTAAGTCTGAAACTAAATCACAATAAAAAATTAAAAGCAAACAAAAATGTAAAGAACCAGGCCCAAATGGACTGCCACCACTCATAAGCCCAGGATTTCACCTCTTCATGTCTCAGGTTCCTTTATCCTAAGATTGAAATAGTTAAAAGCTGTAGGGGTTTTATGAAAAATGAGATAAAGAATGTACAGTGCTAGCACACTGCTTGGCATATGGTAAGTAACATCTAAGATGAATGCTAGATATTATCTCTAGCAACATGAAAGGATACAAAATGACAAGATAAATATGTACACATACTACACTAAGAGCTGGATTTTGCTTTTTACTTTTACATATCTACATTTTCTAAAGTTCTTTCCTCAGGATTTATTACCTACGTATATAAAAACTAGGCAAGTAAGTAAGAGTTAAACTATATTTGATCCCTCTCCCATCTCATCCCCAGCAATTTCTCTGATTAATAGTTGCCTGTTAATTTTGTTCAATTAATTTTTTTCCTGGTCCCATATTTGGTTCCCCCACATTCCTCCTATGAGTGAAATTATTCAATATTTTTCTTTTTCCTCTGGCTTAGCTCCATCCATGCTGCTATGAATGACATGAGCATGACCTTTTTAAGGAAAAGGCTATCTGAAAATTATTTTCAAGTTAAAATGTTTTTATTGGTAAAAGGGGAATTTCTATTACCTATAAACATAATAAAGTAAAACAACTCCTATCAGTATTATGTAACATGTAAAAAAAGTGTTAACTGCATAGTAGTAAAGACTCAAATTCATTTATCCAATAAAATAAGACAGTAAGCTAACTTCTCAGGATTATTGTGAGTTAAATTTTAAAATCCATATACAGTGCTTATTAACCCAGGCTTGTTACATAGTAAATGAATATTCTTAGTTTGTATATTGTTTTAAAAGTGAGAGAGCATTTGCTTTAAAACAACAACAAAAACAGTAACTTACTCAGCAGGAGCTGTATTTTCATGTTGGAGTCCAGGTGGTGTTTTTTGTGTTCTTAAGGCTATTTCAGCATTCTTTAACTCCTAATTTACCAGAGGTTTAAAAAACAAAAAAGATCAGTGGAAAATTATGCTAGAATACCAACTATTTCTACACTGAAACTTCAAAACAATGCCATCAATCAAGGTGTAAAAAATATATTATGAGTGAAGATATTTTTGCAATTTAATAAAACATCTTTCCAGAAAAGACAAACCATGTTTAAAGTTTAAGCAAACCAAACTTTTGTAAGTTTATCAGCTGTTACCTATTTCAAGAAGCTATGGATTTCTGTAGGACTCATGAAGCTAATCCACCCACATTGAAAAACTAAACTACTATTTAAAAATCTTTATTATACAAATATAGAAAACACTTCTAAAAAATAATGTAGTAGGAAATAATGATGACAGCAGTAGTTAGGAATCTGGGCAATACTTATATACCAGGCACTGTGCTAAAGACTCAATATATGATGACTAATACTAAATGATAACTCTATAAAAAGTTTCCATTCAATGAAGAAGTACAGTTAAAGGAACATTAATCATCTGCCCAAGGCCATGTAGTTGAACAGCCTGAGAAGTGAATCTAGGCAGCACAATTCTTTTAAAGCTCACTTACAGCCTCCTACAGTTATTCAATGCCAGTTCTATCTTCTTTATCAACATGTGTCATGATTGATAAAGATTAATATTGTTTATACTTATATTCCACATTAGTAGTTATTTCATTGCTTCTGTAATCTGTTTCCTTATTTAAGAAAAATAAAAGTATTATTATCTTATGTCCACTGTAGCACCTCCTATCCTCACTTCACTGCCAAGCAATTAAATTTGTTTCATTCCTCAGCTCAGACTTCAATCCTACTCAACTATAGCACAACAGCCCTAGAAAAACTGGACTATTCAAATTTTCACTTCTACCTTCTTCTCCAAGTAGATTCTACCCAGATTCTACTATAATGAACTGCTTACAGCTCCTCAGACAGGCCACTCATGCCTCCATTCCTTGGCTTGCTAATCTTCCTACTTACCCATCTAGAGAAGACCTAGTGCACATTTCAAGGATCAATGGTAAGTGTCCACCTAAATCCTTTGGGGCTCTGTATCTTATAACTGCAATATATTATCTCTCTGATTTAACTCTCCTAGTATATTTTAAGTTTTTTGGTACCAAATGCTGTCATCACTTCATTAGGAAAAGTATAGTCCTCCGGAGTGCTCAGCACATACAGAGCCTTAAAAACGTTCACAAAATGGAAAGCTGAACTCCACAATGAACATCAACAAGCCACATGATATTCACCCTAGCCAAAATGAAGATCTTTAACCACCATACTTAAAACTCTTGAATTATGAACCAAAAAGGAGTGAAAGATTTTGCTTCCAAAATATTTTGTTCTATACATTTGCCACATTGCTCTTCACTTGACAATTGCTTCTATTTTCCAAGAGGCTTTTTTTTTTTTTAAAGAAAAGGTTCTGAATAACTAGTGCACTAAAGGGATCATAATATGACTTTCAATTAATAATTCACTGGTCTGTGGGTAGATCACTAGCTCCCAAATACAGGAAAAAAGAGCAATCTAAGTCTCTGTCCTATAATATTTTCCAAATTCAATTCAAATGATATTTTTCCTTAAAAAAGCCTTCTTTGTCTTATAAACTCTTCTTCAGTTACCTTTTATACTCTACCCATCTTTTACTATTTTACTTACCCCAATAGCTTTTAATTTACTCCACAAGACCTTTAGTACCCTTAGAGCTGTCTGTCTAGGGTGGGAGGCAGTGAAGCAGAAGTAGATTCATCTACAATGAGTCTAACAACTAATAGGTAATTCACAAATATTTATAAATGGAACTATCCAGTTACAATGGATCTCAACACAGTATTTTTTTTTAATTTGCATCTTCTATTACTTTATTAATGATTGACCTTTCCACATAATTTATATAATTTCATCTATTTCTCAAATAAAATTTATAATTTCATGAAATTATTAATCAGAGACTCAGCATCCTCCAGTCTAAATGCCTAACTAACATTTTCTTTTCTCCTTAACATTCAACATATCTGATAATATATAAAGAAAGAATAAGTGGGAAGGAAAACCATGAAATATTTTATTTGTGTTTAATCAATAGATGATTGGAAAATTTAAAAGCACTAATGAAGTTTTTGAATCCCCTTCAATGATTATTATTTAGAGTAGCTAGTTTAATTAATGTTTTTATTAAAATACCATTAAAGTATTCAACAGCTGACTTAAGGAACATAAATAAACACCATTATTTGTTTTACCAAAATATTATCGTTTCATTTGTAAAGAGCATATCACTCTCATAATGCCATATTAAAAGATCAGGGAAAATTTTAGAGAAAATTTCTAGACTGCCAGGGATAAAATGTATTTTAAAACTGAAAAGTAAAACGCAAGTAAACCATACATCATCATTTTTCCCCACTGATATAGAAAAGACTACATATTATATTTTATATATATTATACATAAAGTATGTTATGCCAGAGACCAGACATGAATAATAGACATCATTACCATTTTTATTATCAAGTTGCTCTGAAAACTAGTGACTATATATATGAATTCCTTAGAATGCACACAGTAAACACTCAAAATTAATAACTTATTACAGCAAATACTTAGACTGATACATAGTAAACAATAAAAATGAGTACTGGTCATAACAATTTAAAAGTATAATAACTATCTTGGGTCTTACCGCATGTGTATATTAGCTTTATATTTAAAAAGGACATTTCTATCTGAAAACAAACCAAAAAAATCTATAATGAAATGGCTGTGAGTTTACCTGAGCAGTTTCTATTTTCAATTTGTCAATATTAATAGTATTTCTCTGTAATCCACTGGCAGCCAATGACAAAAGCTGCTTCAGAGCTTTAATATCTTCTTGTACTTTAAGCATTGCTTTTGAAGACATTCTACTTATTTCTTCTTGGACCTGTTTTTGTTCCTTCACAAATTTCCTAAAAAGATTTAAAAAACTCAGTTTTTAAAAACTTAGCTCTGGGGCCCTCCCTGGTGGTGCAGTGGGTTAAAGCACTGCACTAAGAAACTAAAGCCACTTCCGCATGAGTTCGATCCCCGCCTGCCCAGTAGGAGATCCACATGGCGTGGCAGACCTCTCCTGGCCAGCCCGCTACTCCCTTCAGCAGTGTACTTCGTTGATCTGCCTGTTCTGCTCCCCGCTCTGTCTCTGGTGAATCCTCTCACCCTCCGCATCTCTGACCTGTACCCCAGTTCTGTATACATAAATAAATAAATCTTTAAAAAAAAAAAAAAAAACTTAGCTCTGGTTTCCTTCAGAAAACAAAAAAAGTATATTTACAATTAAGAGTCCAAATATTAAGAAGAAAATACAAAAAATTGACCTCTGGTTCTTTTTCACAGAATGGAGTTACAGAATTTTAATTCCTGGTATTCTCTCTCTAATTTCTAACAAATTAAAAATTTAACCCAAGTTAAGGGTTAAGAAAGATTGTTCCCTCTAAAATGTACGCTGTCTTCTTCAAGTATGATTTACCTAATAATATTTCACATTAACTTACTGAAGATTTTCAACATCCTGGCAGATCACAGGAGGTAGATTTTCATCCTTCAGGGCTTTACTATCCCTAGGGAAAAAATGGCAGAAAGGTATTAAAACACTGAGATTATAAAGAACTGATGACTAAATTTTAATAGAGTATATGTTAAGCTACAATAAAATAAAGCAAGTATTCCCTATCCCCCTTTATAGTGTCCTTGGGATAATTTCAAAGTTCTTTATAAGGAACAATAAATTTCTTGATCTATAAAGTAACCTTAGCGATTCATATGAAATGAAGATTTCTTTTCTAAAAAGATTTGCATTACTATAAGTACACTTAAAGCATCTGACTAAATGTCTAAAAATTAGAAAAATGCTATAAATTGAGTAAGATAATAAAATTCCCACTAGCTCATAAATTCAAGTGAGATTTTATTCAGTTCAAAAATATTAAAGTATTAACTAAGGAAAGTTTCAGAACTCATGAGATTCTCAAAATAATTCACTTTATTTTATCATTTCAACTTATGCTTCAACAAAACAAGTCCAAGCAACAACTTAAGAAAATCTGAAGTGTTTAATACTTACAGAAGTAAGCTATCTTTATCATACTGTATCTTTATCATATTCATTAAATCATTAATTAATATTTCAGTCTTAGATCTGCAATTATTTCCTTGATATAATTCTAGGCAAAGCTGTCTTTCTCAGTTTCTTCACATATGTCAAAGGGCTAAAATATACACAAGATGTTTTTGAGGTGTGAACCTTATCACTACTTGTAAATGTTTTCACTAACGTACATAAGTTAGGTTAGTAAATACAACTGGTATTAAAAACAATGATCTCCAAACTAAATATGACATATATGGAGGTTATTCTCCCTCTCCACTAAAAAATAAGTGGTACTGGCATAGTAATTTATATATAAAGTAAAAAATGTGTGTAGGCTTTCATTTTATGTATAAAGGGTTCTCCAAGAGTTAAGTTTCAAGAGTTTTTCAATATTTAATGAGTTAAAATTTATAAAAATATATTTGTATTTACAATATTAAACCAACTTTCTAGAAAGAATTGGTTCAGAAATTTCTTAAAGCTAGAAAGACTTGACCTTTCAAAATCTTTCCAGAGTATACATTACTTTACTTTTAACAGGAATTAAGTAAGAATTTATTTTTTCTAAATGTGTTCATGGCTCAATTTACTTTCAATCACACAACTTGCCTACAGTTGATAAGTAAACTCTTAATTAAAATACTTTAAAGCTTAAATTGTAAACTTACTCTGGTCTTGTTCCTGTTTTATCACCTAGGAAATATAAGAAGCTTCTTGTAAAAACAGGTAACAATATATTCCAACTTCAAATTTCAAGTTAACACAAACAAAAGAGTATATCCAGAAATTGTCATGCCTGTCATGAACTCCAACCATAACATGTAATGGAGACATGTTTATGTACATAAAAAAGAGTTATGTGGGGCCCTTCCTGGCGGCACAGTGGGTTAAAGCACAGCACTAAGAAGCTAAAGCCACTTCCGCATGAGTTCGATTCCCACCTGCCCTGGAGGTGACCACATTGCGCAGCAGACCTCTCTTGACCCTGACCCTGCCCGCTGCTCCCCTCAGCAGTGTACTTTGTCGAACTACTTTTCTGCTCCCCACTCTGTCTATGGTGAAGCCTCTCGCCACCCCTGAGCCTCTGGCCTATACCCCAGTTCTGTATGTACAAATAAATAAATCTTTAAAAAAAAAAAAATTTCCCTTACTCCTTTGCCTCAATTTGTTCTTTCCAATGGAATCTAAAAGTAATTATAACAAAGAGAGGAATCTCTCAGGCATAAAATAAACATAGTTGGAGGACACCAAAACTCATACAAATGAGTAAAAAAAGCTGCTAAAACATCTAAAGCTCTTTTTGTAATAACGGAGTTGTTACAAAGAACTAAGAAAAAAAAGAAACAGGATCTATGTTTAGATATTAGTCAATTTTCACTCAAAGAGAAGTAAACCCCCAAATTTTTAAGTTAAAAATTATTTTACCAACTTTTAAGATAATAATTTTTATACTTAATAGTATCTCCTTATAACTAAACCCTATGTCGATTGAAAAAATTCTTGTAATTTTATGTAAACACTGCATATTTTACAACTCCAATAATTAACTCATTTTACAATTTTCCAGAGATTCAGAGCACGATGTACAGGTTCCACTGAAACACACTTTTATTAAAAAAAAAAAGAAAAGATGTTGCAAAACAAAATTTAAAAATCACACGCATGACAAAAATACACAAAGCTCTTCAAAATGAATCTGGGTTCACAAATTTTCAAAAGAATATTTAGTATGGCAAAGCCCATAAAGGCATTTTAATACTGGTTGGTGGGTAAATAAATTGGTAAACCTTTTCAGGAAAGCACCTTCACAATTTATACCATGTCTCCAAATTGTCCCTCTCTTTAAGCTAATGGATCAATTTCTAGGTATTTCTCTAAAACTTCATAATAAATTCATAAATCTAGAAAGCAATCCTGTGTCCTTGGTTCTATTAGGCTTCACAAATAATAACCCTCAAACCAACCACACAAAATAGGTACAGTTAGTACCCTCATACTTATATAGACAAACTAAAACAAAGAGAGGATAAATAATTTGAATAGGGTCCGCTCCTCAAACTTGCATATTATATCCCCCTCTCTATAAGATGCCCAACATGATGGTAATTCCCAAAGTAAAGAAATAGAAACAAACACTAGTAATAGGAGATGGTTGACTAAATTATGCTATATCCACTCATAAAATTGGTATTAAGCAGCATTAAAATATTTTTAAAGAATACTGACATTGAGAAATACATGTGATATATTACACCAGAAAGAACAGGTTAAAATCCTGTTCCTAATTTAAAAGAAATTACAACTATCTTAAATAGTTACATAAAACATGCACATAAAAATTATAGTCTTCTACAAAGATAAAATCTGTACAACACATACAACCTTTATGAAATACAATGCAAACAAACAAAAGTAAAGATTTTATAACTGAATATATAACTAATGATCTTCCAGACATAAGAATTTAAGTTCCTTTGTCAGGACATAAAATTATAATAAACATTACTTACTCTTTTTATCTGATGAGCTACTAAAATCTATGCCACCAAGGCCCTCGTTGCCTACAGTTGAAGTAGCTGCTGTAGTTCCCAATGTTAAGCCTAAAGCATTCTGTCCAAGTCCTACAAATAAGTCAAACATCATTTATAAAGTTCACTGAAAGTTTTTATAACAATTTTCCCTTACTGACCAAATTACTCAAATGCTTTTAAGTTGGATCCCAGATATTCTTCATACTTAATTTAGACAATTACATGAAACAAATCTAAACATGTTATTAACAAAGACTAAAACTACTACTGAACACTACAAATTTCTACATGTTATTTTAACCAATGTCTTTTTTCCCTTCTTCTGACTTGTTTTCATTAAACATCAGAATAAATGACACAATAGAAAAACATCAAACCACATCCCTTTCTGGAAAACACCAAGTGTTAGACACATATTAGTTATTTATTCAAACTTCTGAAATTAAACAGACATTGTAAATTAGCTTAAGTACTGGGAATTCTGTGATTTTACCATGTCAGCTTTTCCTAATATGTAAGTCACTGAGCAGAAATCCTTACACTATTAAGAGGAAGAGAGCTTTTCTCACTTTCACAAAGACACACTGGCTTTCTTATGTTGGCATTAACTATATTGCAAGTATTCAAAATATCTGTGAAATCCTTAAGATAAAGTTAATTTTAAAATTAGCATGAAATGAGAAATCAAAACCTAACAGTGTGCTCTGCCAGCTAAGTTGAACTTCAGTTGTTTACCCAGTGTGAATGTAATAAAATTACTTCATACTTTTGTTTTAAAATCTTGTTTTGAAAGCATCTTAGAATCCCCAACCTATAATGGAAAGTCATTCCTAGAACCAGGGTTTAAAAGGCAAATTGTCAGCCCTCCCTGGTGGTATAGCGGGTTAAAGCACAGCACTGAGAAGCTAAAGCCACTTCTGCGTGAGTTCGATTCCCGCCTGCCCTGACCACATGGCGCAGCAGACCTCTCCTGACCCACCCGCTGCTCCCCTCAGCAGTGTACTCGTCGATCTGCCTGTTCTGCTCCCCCCTCTGTCTCTGGTGAAGCCTCTCACCACCCCTGAGTCTCTGGCCTGTACCCCAGTTCTGTATGTACAAATAAATAAATCTTTAAAAAAAAATAAATAAAAGGCAAATTGTCTTAGAATGAATCTAGACACTACATGATCCCACATATTCAATTACCATTTATTAAAAAATTTCTCTTAAACATTAACTGATACTTAAGTAGATCCTTCTTTGTTTAGAAAAGTTTATTTCTAAAATGACTAAGGTATCCAATTATTCAAGAATTATCATTTCATAAACCAGTTTCCATACTAAAAGGAAAACACAGGTTAGAGAAAGAGATAGGCTAAAAAGATCAAAATAAAGTGAATATTAGTATAAATTCAGACTATACATGTAGAAAAAGTACTACTAATTACCTGATGTTGCTGTGTTTGTACTCTGGAAAAGTGAACCTCCCAAACCAGCTAAGGTCCCCCCTAAAGAAAGGCCAGCTGATGCAGTTGTAGTTGTGGCTGCTGTTCCACCCAAATTATTTAGAGTAAATCCTGTGGATGCTATATAAAGTAAGATTGTAAACCTTCAAAAGGAAACATTTCTATGAAAATGAAAACAAAGAAAGTATAAATACTCTAAATTAAAAAAATAATAATAAACGCCCTAATATCCACAATAAACTGATTTTGGGGGGAAACTACTCACTAAAGATAAAACTATACCTAAGAATAAAGAGAAATAGTAGCTTCAAGCAAAAAGTGTTTGGGGTATTACTAGAATGGTAATAAAAACTGATTCTAGACTGTAATAAAGTTTTCAACCCAAGCCCACCTCTAAAATTAAATAAATTCTAATGCTGGCAAGGTTTATACAAATTCTTTCTTTGCCATTCTCTGATAGAGGAAATGTTCCTTGAAAATAATATAGTTATTAAGTTTTGCAATGTACCTCTCACCCTCTTCTGCTTAGCTCTGTAAATACAGAGCAACATCCAAGACAACCTTTGCTGCTTAATGCCCAATGCTGATCTACACAAATTAATCTTTAGTAGATCAAAATTGCTACATGATTAAAGGTTTTCCCAAGCTACTACTAACAAAGGTGAATACCTATGTTCATTAACTAAATAAAATTAAAAGTCAACATAAAACAAATTTTTCCACCTGACTTACCTGCTGGAGTTGATGTCAGAGCAGATGAAAGAGTCAAACCACTAGCTGAGGTAGAAGTAATAGGCAAAGCAAAAGGTGTGGCAGATGCTGCGGGTTTATTAAAACCTAAACTGAAACCTGTTGTAGATGCAGATGTAGTGGCTGGAGTGCCTGTTTAAAAAAAAAAATCTCATTTTACCATAACTGTCTATCAATTATACTAATTTCAATCAGGATCTCTAAGTTTGTAATCCTACTCTTTTAATAAAGATATAGGTACTTGCACATTATAAGAAAGAAAAATACAGAAGTTGGGCCCAAATAGGAAAATACTGAAAAGATGGCCCAGTGTGTTAAGAAAAAAATGAAAATCCAATCAATGTGGTAACAGTGAAATCCAATTTCAGTTCTACCCCTAGATTTACCTAAAATAGCATTTATCCTTCTTTCATACTGAGTAGAAAAATAGTCCTTCTCATCCAAAGTACTTCCTAAGGTTTCATTCCCTAAAGTCCCTTTTCTTCCCAAAATATCTCACTCACTTTCAGAACTTCAGCTATAGGTACATGTGTGTAAATCAACATCTATCTGAAAATCCACTGGCTAGCTTTACCTCAATATACTTTTGAGCATCTACAGGTCTTTCTTAAAAAAAAAAAAAAAAAAAAAAAAAACAAGTTTCCTCTAAATTTCACTATAGTCAATTTAGTTGTTCAGGCCAACAAAGGCAATCATCCTAACATGCTTTCTCACCCTCCCTTGTATTCCATTAGTCATAAATCCTGTTAATTCTACTGCAGAGGCATTCCCCCATTACAAGTATCCTTAAAACCTTACAGAATTATTTTGCTTCTGTTATCAATCTCTTCCACCTCCAAGCTATACTTGGAATTATGCTACTTCCCAAAAAAGAGAATAAAATATCTGATGAGAACCATCTTGTCAGGTTGCCATAGGCTCTACAGTTTCGTGGAAACTGCCTTGGCTTTTCTTACTCTAACTTGCTCCTCAAAACGTAACTCTTCCTACCATTCTCACCTCTAAATCCTTAACTCTGACAACAAAATATTTTTTTCTATTCCCCTGGATCCTTTTGATTGGAGTTTTCCATTTTCCACTCCTTTACCTGGAATGCTTTATGACCCCAAAATAAATTACCACTTTCTTCTTCCTCTGCCTTCCAACGTAGCTTTCATACACCTTTTAAAGCATTTATCAGGTTACACAAGAACATACTACTATATATGCCTTTCCCCTTTACCTCACAACAAATTCACAATGTCTTGCTCATGCACTCAGTAGTGTCTGCCATCATCAGTATCATTCTCACCACTTCTAGTACTATCACACTAACACCTATTACTGAAAATTCAAGGTCAGAGTTAGGAAGCAGTAATGTAAGACTTCTTAATTAAAGATATGTATAAATGACCTGCATTTTGGCATCTCCTGAAGGTACTGGAAAGAGGTCAGTAAGTATACTTCACAACTGCCTTACCACATCTGGGGAGTTCCTGCCATAGTATAATTTTGCAATCACCTATGGGTTCTAACTGTATGCCACTATAGTTAATCTTGTCCAAAACTTTGGCAGCAAGCAAACATGTTTCCTGTTGAGGACAGGTAAGTAGTACTCAACTGAAGAAGGTCTGCCACTTTATTTCAATTTTTATTTTTAATTAATTTTGAGGTTAAGGGACATAGGTGCTCTGGGTTGGACAAGTTGTTGTGATAGACTCCGAAGTTGTGTGAACCTATCTCTCTGTGTCATATAGTGATGGGTAAAACAATGTTACCTCAGGTAAATGAATAAATAGGAGAAATAAATAATTCTGAAGTCCCTTAAATCCCTTCATTTTTATTCATTCATTATTTATAGAATCAAGATTCAAGGCAGGCTGTAACCCACTTATTTACATTCCCTTTGACATATCACTATACATAAATACATTTTTGAGCTAAAAAGAAATCCAAAAACTTTTAGTCCAAGACCCTCATTTTATAGATAAGAGCTACCAGATAATATATAACTGAGTAAGGCTTCACAACTATTAGCTATGACCAGGTTTAATTTGATGCTTTCTCCACTGAAAGAATTCAACTGGAAAAAATACTGTGAAATAACTTTCTACAGAAAAGCCATTTTTGTATTTAAGTTTTCAGAATTAAAAAAGTCTATACAGTCATTGATTATTTAAAACATTCGAATGCTGGAAATTTTTGATGAGTCAGTACACTGTAGTCATTGCCTTATATGCTTTCTTCTATACCCCAGCTCTGTGAAATATTAGGAAAGAGAAGAGTAGAAACCAACAGATTTGGGTTCTTTCCTCAAAAGTTCTTACCCAAAGTTAATCCTGTAGTTATAGTTGTTGCTATTCCTAGGGACAGAAAAAGAAAGAAAACTTAATAATCAATAGAAGATGTTTTGTCCTAAGGGCAAGATCTGGAATCATCAAAAAGTGACAACGCTGATGGCAGGATCACTATACCCCAGTACCTTCCACCATAAGTACTAACAGGACATTCTCCCTATGGCAATGGTTTCCATGTGACAAGCTACATGTAATTGGATTAATTAGGGAACAGAATTTGTTATTATTGTTATATTTGTTATTATAATAATACAATTATCACTTATAACCAAACTAGGTAAGGCAGAAAAAGCTACTCCAAACAAAACACGGGCACACAGAACTGTCTCAAGAAGTTCCCTGGCTAGTCTCATATTTATTCCTGAAGTTCTTCCATTTCTACATGTTTTAATTCAGATTAGTAGGTCACTGCAAAAGATAACAGAGCCCAAAAGAATAAAGAGTAAGTAAGGTGCAAACTTTTAAAGTGGTAGCTCCAGTGAAATGTATCTTTAGCTTATAATTAACAAAATACCTGTATTATGAAAACAAATGTTATTACTGAAATGTCCATCAGAAACTTTTACCCCTTGCTTTTTCCCCCAATGAAACAACTGTTTTAATAATACAAAAAAGTAAGCTCTTTTAGGAATACAAGTTATATTATAGCAAAACAGTATGCTGATGTCCTATATATGCTAAATTACTTTTATGTTCAGATCAGTAAACTTGACTTAATCTTCACAAAGGTAAAACACTCCACTATATAATATAAATGAAAATTTTAATTACTTTAATTCACTATAGAAAGGAATAGCTTCTTTAATTCTTTAAAGAGGGGTGTGTGTGTGTGTGTGTGTGTGTGTGTGTTTCCCTTCCTTACAATAAAGTAGATCATAGCTGATGATTAGGACTATACTTATACTATACTTAGTGGTACTTAATTCAAATCCATTTTTCTTTTTACCTTAGTATTTACCTTTTTTCTCAGTCTACTATCAATGACAAAGAAATAAATCAAGACAGAACATGCAAAAGAATAAAAATCCTAATCCCACCCCCAGCAAGTGTGATAATCTGCCTTACCTGTATTTGTTCCTCCTAAAGTGAACCCAGTGGTAGGTTTTGATCCAAAGAGTCCAGTTCCAAATCCACTTGAAGGAGCAGATGTAGTTGCTGGGGTTGCGGTGCTTCCAAAAGTTCCAAAATTGAGCCCCACAGAAGGGTTGCTTATTTATAAGAAACACAAAATAAAAGTCTACTAGAGCCAATATTTACTTAAGAAAATGAAAATTAACCCTCCAATACTATTTTCCTGACTTAATATATCTTAATATACCTCCACAGGTTACAAGAATAACTAACAATTTGCCTATAGGTCAAGTTCAAATATTTTTCTGTCCTCTTTACAAATAAATTCACACAAAAATTAATCTTAAAAAATACAACACCAGACTCAAGAAAAGCATAATCTAAAGCAATTAGAATCTCTGATCCCAAGTAATCATAAACAAGATCTCACACAGTCTGCTCTGACCCATTACAGACATATCCTGGCAAGAGTAAAATGTACAACAAAATTATCCTCTATTAAGAGACACAATCTTCAAAATTTCTACCAAGCTCCACAGGCCCAAATTTGCTATGTAAAGCTGTGAGAACAAAAATGCTAAAAATTTGACTTTTCAAAAATTATGAAGGAGAGTTAAGAGATTATAACACACAGAGCAGGAAATCCATATACCCTATATATTTATATTTATTGATTTTATCCCTACCCTTCTATGTAACTATAATCACTATGAGAGAATACAATATCAATTTTGTTTTGTTTTTAAGTTAAAGTTTGGATCATTTCCTTTTAAAGGGAAGGAAGCTAGGTTTCGGTAATAATTCCCTAATATGCTGATATCTGTGTGGCATTACCTCACATTTTTGAGTCTCTTCTCATTTTCAAAATGGGAATAACTGTACCCAACTGTTCCCATAATCTAGCAAGATTTTTACTAAACATGAGATTATACAGAGAAAATTTATTACCCTCAATAAATGTTACTACTATATAATTAATATAATTAAGAATGTTTATTAATTCAATTAAACATATTATGTACAAGATAGCATGCCAGATTAGTATGGATAGGAGGAGCTTGTTAAGGAGATAAAACTTAAATTAGTCACCAACACTAGTAGGAAAAAGGAGAATTCTAATTATATCTTAGTTTACCACCAATTCTAAAAATGCCCCAAGAGCGAATGTGTTTGCCCTTGGATATATGAAATACAAGGGTTGGTAAAGTGGGCTGAAAGGTCTTACTGACAAGGAAACACTGATCTTTGAACACTTAACTGACTATATTAAAAAGGTGATTTAAGAAACATTACTAGAAAATTTTGAAGACATCAAATTAAGAAAAGAGATACTATGCTCCCTTTGCCCCCAAATAAGGGACCCCATTTGTTTTTACTGTTACCCATAAATATACAAAAGCTATCCAGCTAAAGCATATGTGTTTAGAATGAAACAAATGAATTAAAATACTTTAAATTTCTTAAGAACTGAAGACACATTGTTTCATAACTAAAGTTAAAGACAATACTAAAGAAATGCCTAAAAATGAAATCTTCTTATTCTACCAAAGAAGCAAAAGAGAAATTTCTTCATGTCAGAGAAATGTACCTATTTTACCAAAAAACAAGCCATTTCAGATCTGATCAAGTATTACCTCAACCCAGGACTCAATAGGATGTGTTACAGAAAAGTTGCATTGATTATAGCAGGCCAGAAATACTGCCTTAACTTCTTCCATTGTTTTTTTTTTTTCTTAAGATTTATTTATTTATGCATACAGAACTGGGGTATAGGCCATAGGAGCAGGAGTGGTGAAAGGCTTCACCAGAGATAGAGTGGGGAGCAGAGCAGGCAGATCAACAAAGCACACTGCTGAGGGGAGCAGCGGGCGCGTCAGGAGAGGTCTGCCACGCCAGCCATGTGGTCACCTCCTGGGGCGGGGATCGAACTCTTGCTTAAGTGGCTTTAGCTTCTAAGTGCGGTGCTTTAGCCCACTGCGCCACCAGAGAGGGCCTTCTCCCACTGTCTCAAACACAATGGCTAACATTAATGGAAAATTTATCAAGTGCTGGATACAATGCTAAATACTTTACAATACTTTACATGCTTTATCTAATTAAACAACTTTTTGACATAAGTACACTCCTTTTCCCACATGTGGGGACTGAAGGTGCAGAGTAACTCCCCAAAACTGATTTACCTATAGATAGAGACCATGGAGCACTTAAAGCAGTCGGGTCTCCAAACCAGTGATCTAACCGACAGATTAAACTCTCTCTTTTGTTAATTTATACAAGGACAGATTAAACTCTCTTTTGTTAATTTATACAAGTCTTTCTGAAGTCCACCTAAACTTTTCTACTTGATTACTAATATTTTCTTTACTCAATCATCTGCAAATTATTTATTAAAGCCCTTTGTATACACTAGGCACTGCTGTCACAGGATCTGAAGGTGGAGTAGTAAATAGGACACAGATCCTACCCGTAGGATGTTTCCTGTCAGTAACAGAAAGATGAATACTTTCACTCAACAATTATGTATGGCGTTCTAGGTACTCTGTCTGCCTGAAAAATGGTATGAGAATGCCTTCAGCATTATGGAGTTTACATCCTATTGTTGGAATCAGATGAGTCAACAAATGAATTATAATGAACTGATTACAATTGTGTTAAAATGCTCTGGTATGGCCCTCCCTGGTGGCGCAGCAGGTTAAAGCACTGCACTGAGAAGCTAAAGCCACTTCCGCATGAGTTCGATTCCGGCCTGCCCCGGAGGAGACCACATGGCGTGGCAGACCTCTCCTGACCCGCCC